CTTAAAAACTGGCAGTCCGGACATGTCATTTTAATATGACGCTTAAAAACTGGCAGTCCGGGCAGGTCATTCTAATATGACGCTTAAAAACTGGCAGTCCGGGCAGGTCATTCTAATATGACGCTTAAAAACTGGCAGTCCGGATAGATCATTCTAATATGACACTTAAAAAACTGGCAGTCCGGACAGGTCATTTTAATATGATGTTTAAAAATTGGCTGTCCGGACAGGTCATTTTAATATGACGCTTACAAACTGGGAGTCCAGAAATGTCATTCTAATATGACGCTTAAAAACTGGCAGTCCGGAAACATCACTCTAAGATAACCAAATTAGCATTCACGAAATAATGCACATCAACAGAAAGGATAGGCATAGGTTCTGAAAAGCATATTTACCACTTATATACACACGCCTAAAAACACCTAGTAAAGTATAAATATTATCATTGTATTATAAAAAATTAGAATGCCCAATCCAAGACTAAGTGTTGGAAATGAAAAATATGATCACACAAGAGAAAAGTTTTACATCTATTTCGAGAACAGATAAGCCTATATCTTTTAAGGATTTGTTTTCAAGAAGCCAATAGTTGAAAAGCAAGAAACGGTATTTTGCTATATGGTGAAAGCATCTAGTAGTTATAACCGACATAATATAAAGGTCTGTGTGCACAAAAACTTACACATGGTATAACTTTAAACTCCGTATGTCTAGCAGTGACCGAATAATGGTAAATATAATCAGCGTTATTCTCTTTACACTGTTCAAGTGTTCTGAAAGATTGACTCGCCACCTGGTCCACAGATAAAAATGTGTGCAACACGCCGATGTAGATGTAGACTCGTGTTTTATACAATACGATAATGTAAACAATAGCTGAAACCAAATATAAGACGTAATGTTTATGTAAGCCACTCAGCAGACTGTGCCAAGACTGGTATCATTCCAAGTGTGTTCATAGGCGTTTGAAGAATCAAGAGAAAAGTTATTCTGTCACGATCAGAACTAAAAGGTGTTTTTTTGCAACACTTGAGTTCTCGTTGTTAAACAGGCTCAAATTATTTCGAAAATGAAATAACTTTAACAGAGTGGGTGATAAATGGCGCAAATTTCCGCGAACGAAATTAATTGTTATAATACATATTTTGAATTGTTCAGGACGAAATACACATGTCACAAAACCTGATGAAACATCCTTCAACTTGACGAATTGAAGCTAATATACCGTATGATCTAAATCAGTAGAAGTTTGAAACATCAACACTGAAACTTCTAAGCGTAATTCTAGTCATAGACGAATCTAGATAAGAAATTGTGTCACTTGGTTGTAATTTCATTAATGACCGTCTCATTTTCACAGGTTGAGCTAAACGATTTATTAAAAAATGTGTGTTCAACGTCTAAATAAACGACACAAATAAAAACAACGGTCTCCAACAGATAGTAGAAATTCCTTGTTTACAAAAAAAAAAGTAAAACTTCACGTAAGTTTAGAAACCGCGGAAATGGGGGGGGGAGTAACAGGATAACTAGTAATCTAAAGTTAACTGGGAGTATATAATACTCGCATAAAATACACACGTTCCGCTGTGGTGTTTAAAGGCCCTCTCATGATTCACAGAAGCACGAATGTACCGACCAAGCTCCTCTATTATCCCCAGTTACTTTTATAGTTATCCTAAGAAGATGTGTACCCAAATAAAGTCCGTTCGTACACCTACTCGTGGTACCTGAGCGCCCCCTGGATCCCGAGGGCAGAACAGTAATATAAATTGCGATGCCATTTTTGGATTCAGCGAACCAGAAAACCTAATTCGAAACGACCATCATGCCTGGAGGACCTTCCGGGTGTGTTCTAAATACCCTTGGTAAAAGGCTAAACCATACTCTATAGCTACCCCAAAGGATTTCGTAGTCGAAAAAATCCCCATTAAGACACCATGGCCGTAATACCTGAACATGTGTGCCACATTTAGTCCCCCTAGCTTGTGAGAGGGGATATGAACACAATTTCAAACATGGCGCTTCCAGGAATCCTGACGGGGACAAAAAACACAATATCCGATGCCAAATTCATATATATTTGAATGGCCTCATGAGCGAATTTTAGCCTCCACTGTAAGTGGACTATGCCATATAGGTAAGAACACCCCCGGGCCACTCCGAGTCCACTTATCAATTTTGGTCGTGCTAGCTC